ATCTGATAAAGTGTTTGGTCCACCACAGAACAAAAACAATCTGCTCTGATGAATGTCTGAATGAAGAGCTTAATATTATGAAACAATTGCTGAGTGAGAATGGTTATCCAGAAAAATTCATCGGTGAGAATATGAATCAAAAATCAAGACAGGCCAAAAGTACCGAGGGTTCCGAAAAAGGCCATGCTCTTACAGCTTCAATTCCTTGGTAATAACACCAGTAAAATAAGAATACAGCACTTAAGGAATGCAGTAAACAGAAAATTCAGTGCCTCCGGGGTGCTGTCTCTTCGAAATCGCCCCTCTTTAGATTTCGACAGTTAAGGAAAGATAAACTACCCAATTCCCTCTCTTCTATGTGTATCTATCAGTTAGACCGCTCCTGTGGTGCCATTTACATAGAGCCTAAAATTAGGTATTTTTATAGTCAGATTTCCGATTACCATCCTGCATAGGGGTTAAGTAAGAGATAAACAAAGGACATTCATAGTTCAATGCTGTCTCATCTCGTAGATACAAAACACAAAATTGATGTAAACAAGGCCTACCGTACACCAACAAATCTAAATTTTATCACCAGACCTCATGTATTGCACACTGTTGAGGCTGATGCAATCTATATTAAGAAGTCTAATTTATGTATCCGAAAGAAGTTGGTTCCGATGCTTTCCTCAACCCGTTGGCCATCATAGTTTCAATGATCCTTAATTTGTTGTGGACATCTCCCTAATTTTATTTATCATTCTATTTACTATTACATTTTTATACTTCGTAGACTGTAATTCCATTGTGGTCTTACCTAACAAATCGACAGTATTTAAAAATACCAAAATTGTTAACCACAATTCTTCTGGAATATTCTATGTATATAAAAATGCTTATATAATTGCAGATTCAGAAGAGAAAATAATTAAAAAGGATATTCTTCGCTCAATTTGTGTTTCCTAAATTTCTGAATGGATATTTACCTTGTGTACTAATGTGTATAATCTTTGTCTTTGTAGGTTACAGATTAGAAGTAGTCGTCCCTGAAACTGACATCCTAGTTACCAGGATTCTTCCAACCTTTCTCATCAACATTATTATAGGAATTATGCGAATTTAAAACAAGTAACAAATGGTGAATACAAACAGGATTATTTAATGAATTCATCAAATTTCGGTAGAACTCTTCCTCAGCTTAATACTCTACATACAAAGTGCCAAAAAACTCGAATAATAAAGCATCCTATGGATTACGGACATGATACCGACGCTGTCAAGTCATACACTGTTGTCAGCAGACAGACAAAGAAACAGGAAGATGCTTGCAATTGCGGAGGCTTGTGCAATTCGAATTTATAAACCAGGTGTCTGTGTACAGAAGGAGATGGTCGTCACTGTGAATCTATCACGATAATACATTTGATTTATTAACTGTTATTAATATTATTAGTATTACTAAATACTTTGTTGTACCTCTTATTATTATTCTTGATCCATTTAAAACCACCTTTTATCAGAAGCATTATCTTAACCCGTTTCAATATTATTATTATTATTATTATTATTATTATGTCTATTACTATTAATATTAATCACTTCACAATTCTTCGTATAGTTAAGTCCTTTCTGTAATGACTAACTGTTCATCTAAGTGATGTAATTGAAGCATAATGCATTTCATCTTAATTTCGGTCTCTCATACTCCCTTACCCCTTATCTCTCTGAACATGACCTGAAAAGACACTCACACACGTGTCATTTTACATGAATAATTCAATATAATTTATTTGATAATCAGTCTTACATCTCCCAATGTGATTCTCGAAGTGTATATATAACCCTATATGTAGAGAATTCAGCTGAGGAAGAGTTCTACCGAAATTTGTTGAATCCATCATTAAATCCTGTTTTATTAAACAATTTTATCGTCAATCTTTCTAACAGGATTATTATTTATTGACAAAAACTGTTTAAGGAACAACTATTATCACCCTTAGGGTAGATATTACAACCAATATTGACTCGTGGTCTGAACGTAGGAAACTAATTTCAGTATCCAACTGTATAGCTGACCGAAACTTCCTTGAGACATACACAGTCACTATACGCTCCAGAGATCACAAAATAGCCATTATTGGTGATGGGAATCTAGATTCGCTTCTATCCAACAAAAATGATAGTGATCTGATGCTCACTAGCGACTGGCTGTATTCAGGTAGATAGGCAGTTACATAGGTTCTAGTGGGAAGTCGTGACCAGTGAGATACAGTAGGTTGGGTATGAGGAGGATCGGATCCCACTGGCCTAATGGCCTACGAGGTCTTTTTGTAACCAGAAGGTCCTGGTTCGGAACCGTGGTAGTTGGTGCGTATTTCTGGAGAGTTTCATACCAGGATTAAATGGCTATACGGATCATGTTAACAGATAACTCTAACCAGGTGAATTAGACATCTAACCAGGCTACGTTTGTAGTCTAGAGGTATGAAGCTCAGGAAGTGAGTGATTTGTCCAGTGGAAGTAGGTTTTCTATACAAACGTCTACATACTGTTCGATCTGTTCGTTTAGTCATCAGAACGTTCTCTACGCCGTTAATAGACTCCATTTTATGTTCACCACAAAAGGCTAAAGACTGATCGAATGCGTGTTTTCCCTTCCAGATTTCATATTATGCAGCTAAGGCTCTATAAAAAAGGGTGAAATGATGAAGCATAATTTAATTACGAAAAGAGAAGAGAAGGGCTCAGTTTCGTTTACTAGGGGGCGGATTATTTCTCATATTCTGTCTGTCTTCTCATCCATTCTCTTCAGTTTATGTATCCAGCTGGTTCACTGCTGTAAAAACATCTCCTACTGATTTTATTCTGAGTTTTTTGTCAAGTCTTACTAATACTGGCCAATGAACATTAGCATCGTATTAATTAATTATCATATATAATCTCCAAGTATTATTTTGTAAGGATTTGACTAGCTTTAAGTTTGAGCACAGACTGATATCAGTTAGAGAACTGTGGGAAAACCAAGAAGTACTAGTTTGAATCCCTACGACAGTACGCAGCAACGATCCCATCCGTTGGGGGGGGAGCATTGAATGCAGAACTTTCAGGCTACGAGGTACACGTATCTACCAATCACAATCTGGGACGGAATCTGATGGTACATGAATTTTAACTTCCGTCAGTTCAGATGCAGATGCTCTTTGTCTCACTCTCAGCTGGATGATCGGATTACGAAGCTCTAGTTTTATGTTTGCAGACAACAACGTCAGTGTTAGTTTCAATAAGAAGCCAGCTTTCGAAATTCTCCCTCTCTCTTAATCATGCTTAACATGAATATCTGTTTCCGGAAATTTTCTTATTCTCCTTGCTACTCATACTGGTATTGATTATTTTATTGAGCTGATTTTTGGCCTATCGTCAATGAGGCTTCTTGTTCTTCTCATTACTCAATAAATCTGATCTAAATCACTGTGTTTACTGACCGTACATCCATCTTAGGGATTCTTTGATATTCTTGATGTTTAATTTTTGTGTACATTTTCAGTTGGATCACTGTCCATAGTTGTCTGCATGAGTTGATATGAGCGTATGAACATCATGTCTTTTGATGGCTTATTCAGAATCGTAGATACAGAGAATGTTCACAGATGTTGCTGGCTGGATTCAGCAGAGAACTTTGCACCGATGTACAGCAGTTCGAGTCGCCACACTTCACTCAGCAAACAAAGCCAGAGAAGAAGAAAGTAAAAAGAAATGCAAAATAGAGACAGTAAACAGAGATGTGAAGCAAAACGTTTAGTAATATCGAAGAACAATATAGTTTTATTGGGTATTATAAATCACAAGGAGTGAATGCATCTGAGCCATCCATTGAAAACGAAGGTTTTGAGCTGTATCACCAATTGTTTCTAGCCTTCATTGGTGTTTACCGTCCCGAGGACCCTAACCAGGAAGCCAGTCTACTCCTTCTTGCGTGACTGGCTGGCTTTAACTGTTGTGGATTTCATTGACTAATGAAGCCATATTCTGAATTGACCAGCAACCACCAGACCTTTTCCAACCTGATCAGTCCTATGTCAGCTAACATTACCTGTCGAGGAAGGCAGGCGATGGCTAGGCATACGTAACACATGTCCTAACCATCTCAGTCGATGTAGCTTCACAGCCTCGTCAACTGATTTCCTCTTCTTACCTAGCACTCGACGCCTAACCTCAATATTGCTCATCCTACTATACCACTTCACACGGGAGGGAGATAGAACGCAGGCACCTGTTATCAAACACAGCTAGCCAGCCTTTCCATGTCTTCTACTCTCAATGGTCAGGTCTCACAGCCATCAAAAAGGACGACGAAGTGTAGTGCTGAGCAGTACACACGACCTTTTGTTAATAGCCAGCCGGATATCACGTCTACGACAGAGACGGCGTAAACTGGCATATACGAAACTAGCCTTCTGCATCCGTGCTGAGATTTCGTCAGAGATCAACCCTCTGGCATTGGCTGGTGCAACTTCCCAAATAAGTGAAGTGGTCCACACGCTCTACTGACCACTTCACTCTCTATTTCTAAGCTAGGAGTTAATGTAATCCAGTCCTGTAGCATCATCTTACATTTGACGGAAGCCAATCGCATGCCAAAAAACCGCAGATTGCTGTCTGTCAAGGTGTTCAGCGTCTTCACCTAGAAGGACTATATCATCTAAAGAAGACCTTCAAGCGAAATTGCACGCCACGCCCTCAGTTAGAAAGAAAATATAGGATGATGGGTCAGATGTTGGTTCGAGGGTGTAATGGAAGAGATCATGTGAAAAAAAATGAAAGCATATAGGCGGTTGTGACATAGAACTGAGTGGGATAGATATGTGTTCCTGAGGCCTCACTTCCTACTGGTGACGCAGCGGGTGAACAATAATAATAATAATAATAACAGATTATACCGTTACCCTGCAACTTTACTCCCGTTTCGCTGTTGACACTGAAAAGAGAAATTACACGGATTTGAAATAAAAACAACAACATTTTCGTTTTATACTATTTAATCAAAAGAATTAAGTAATATACAGTCATCATTGTATTGAAAGCTTCAAAGTCTAGATTACAAATAGGGAGAAGAAGTGGAAGAAGAAGAAAAAGAAGAAGTCCACCAATTTTCATATTAAACTCACAAACAATCAAAAAGGTGTAAAAATGACAAAAACCGAACCAAGGAAAGAATTCGAGCGGGAGCAGGAGAAGGAGCAGAGGGCGGAGAAAAAGTCACAGCTACTACTCATAATTTAGAAGATGCCATCGTCATTATCATGATCATCATCATCATCATCTATAAAGGAAGAATAAAAACGTCTACTAAAAAGAAGAAGACGAACAACAACAACAGGAATTCATACGACATGGGATGGTGGTTAGTAGTGGTAAAGAAAGAAAGAAAGAAGGCAATTAACAGCTGTTAAAGTCAAAACAAAAGGAAAATACCACACACGCACATCGATTGTAAGAAAAGACAAACAGAGAAGAGCATTACATACTACTGATTACCCGTAACAGAACACACACTAAAAGTACACACATCTAGAATGAAGGATAGATAGATAGACGCACAGAAAGAGAGAGAAAGAAAGAAAGATGAGTAAATCCTTCGCCTTTCTTCTCGTATTGGTGAGAGGATAGAATACAAATTGTGTTATCATCACATTGAAAGTAGCTTACAAAATCCATCATCATGATCCTCATGTTTACTGATACACATATCTATATATATGACAATGCATCTTTGCAATATCAAAAAACACGAGAGAAGTAAAGAAGAGAAGAGAATGAGTAGAGAAAAAGTCTTTTACTTTTTTTAAAAATATTTTACGTTTCCTCGTTGATTTATTTTTTCTTTTCAATTTCTTATTTTGGTACCCTCCCTCTTAAAAGTGTGTACACAAATAGTGTGTTAGTCAAGCTTTGCATTTTCCGCTGACTGATTGTTTTCAGCCTAAAGAAAAGTGAGATGCAGAAATGAAAAAACAACAACAACAACAAATTAAACACTTTAAGCGCGGAAACAGCAAAATAAATAAATAAATCTGACGGCCTCCATGTGCATCTCTTGTGAAGCAAGGTGGTAAATTGGCTGTAGCCAGAGGACACCGCTTTTCACTCATGGATACGGGAACATATTCTAGCAGCATGATTTTACAAGAGAGGAGGGAAGTGCGCGGTGAAGCTCTATTCTAGTACACACCTGATCGACTCCTGTCACTCTGTCAACCCTGACCATGATTTTAAGATCATCTACCGAATTCATGCTAACTTGCCGACTGGGTTTTCTTCGTTACAGACTTCTAAAGACAGAGGACGCCTTAGCAATTCGTGAATTTAAGTCAGACCTTTGTGTTGAAAAGAAGTATGTACAATCCCTACTTCTGTCTTGGCCGTAGACGGATAGACATTTATTTATTTTGTTTATTTAGCTATTCTACGTACCTTTCCCTTATTACTATTATTAGCTGTCCAGTACTCCCAGTTTTTCCAGTGATTCTCTAACTGATGTCAGCTCATGATGAAATCCACCATGCAATCAAACATAAATTCCTACAAAACCAACACTTGAAAATTAATCTGACGCTCAATAGTGACTGGCCCTATTCAGGCAGTTAACCTGGGGTTCTAGTGGGAAGCCGTGACCAGTAAGTTACAGCAGGTTGAAGATGAGGCAGTAACTCATCGAAGAAGACATTGCGAAATGGTCGCGCTATGTCGTGAATTGGAAGAATTTAGAATTCAAGGACCATTGGATCGGGTCCCAGTGGCTTAATGGTCTACGAGTGCGCCTTGTAACCAGAAGGTCGTGGGTTGGAACAGTGGCAGTGGGTGCGTACTGAGGAAGAGTGCCAAACTAGGACGAAACAACTGTACAGTACTCCCAGGTTTTCCAGTGGTTCTTTAACTGATGTCAGCTCATGATGAAATCCTCCATGCAGTTAAACAAAATCCCTACAAAACCAACACTTGAAAATATTATTATTATTGCTTTTCTCACTCTGAATTGTTTCCACTTGTCCCACTTGTCATTCTAAATCAAAAATTATCATATTTTTTTTACAATTTATTATTATTATTTCCTTTAATTCCTAGAGGAACATAGGGCTTCAGCCATGCGTCTCCATTGCGTTCGGTTCTCTGCTGTAGTTTTCACCTGGCTCCAAGTCTGCCCACACGCTTTCAATTCCTCTTCACATGATCTCCTCCAGGTCACCCTTGCACTGACGACCAACTCGCCACTTCCCATCCGATAAGGTTCCACTCGAGCAATGGCTTGTCTAGTGATGTCACTTGCTGGTTTCCTCAGAGTGTGTCCAATCCATCTCCATTTCTTCCTGCCTATTTGTTTCACGATCGGTTCCTGGTTGGTTCGCTCCCAGAGATCTTTGTTGCTGATCCTCTCCGGCCATTTGATCTTGAGTATTGAGCGAAGGCATTTGTTAATGAAGGTCTGTAGCTTGTTTGAGCTGCTCTTTGTGACACGCCAAGTCTCTGATCCGTATAGTAGTACTGACTTCACATTGGAGTTGAAAATACGGATCTTATTTTTGACGCTGAATGCTGTTGACCTCCACATAGACTTGAGAGAAATGAAAACTTGTCTTGCTTTTCCGATTCTGGCTTTGATATCCTCGTCAGTTCCTCCTGTAGTTGAGACGATGCTTCCCAGGTAGGTGAAAGAAGTTGTTTCCTTCAGGTTCCTCCCGTTTATGCTGATTGTTGTCGGTTGTTGCTGTTGATGTTGGCCAGGAATCTTCATTACCTCTGTTTTGTCTATGTTCACTTGAAGTCCTATCTTTGCTGCTTCTTCTGCCAATTTGTTGCTTTTCACTTGCATATCTTCCAGTTTGTGGGAAATCAGACATATATCATCGGCGAAATCCAAATCCTCCAAGGCTTTTGTGTCGGTCCATTTTATGCCTGTTCCCTCGTTGGTTGCCGTTGTCTGCCGCATCATCCAATCAACTGCAATCAGGAAGATCATTGGTGACAGTAGACAGCCTTGTCTCACTCCCGTCCTCACTTCGAAGGATTCCGTGAGCCTCCCGTTGTGGATTACTTGGCATGCAGCGTTGTCATACAGCTGTTGAATTCTATCTAATCAAATTTCACACACCATGTTATGTAACATTTTATATTCGCCTACTAATCCTATAATTATGCACCCCTTTCGAACATCTATACACCTTATGTACTATTCTGTATATGACATTAATTGTTTTGCTACTTGACATTTAACTATGATTATAATCAAAAACATTTTAATTTTAATTGCATCTCATACAACTATTATTATCATCCTTTTACGTGTTCACACCTTTGATCTAATTACCTCACAGGATATAATTTCTTGAAAACTATTCGTTGCTTAAAAGAGTCTCTTCGCTGAATATTGTCATTTCAAGAAATGACAACAACTCTCTGAAAACGTCCATATACAAAAAGCCTACATGGACCGGACAATTCATCAACTTTCAAAGCTTCGTATCGCTAAGCAGAAAGAGGAACCTGATATACGCTCTTTCCTCGCGGATTCGAGGAAAGTGATCGAAGAAGAACTGCGTAATCTCCGAAAAACCCTGATGGAAAACGGTTTCCCGGCCAGGTTCATAGACAAGAATCTTAAACCTACGAAGACTTCTGAACAAGTCCAATCCGTCCCAAAGAAAATACTTCTGCTTAATTTAGAATTCAAAGGTGATATTGAAGCAGAAATCCTTCGTAAACGCCTCTCCAAATCACTGAGGAAAACATACTTCGCCGCAAGCCTACGACTGACGTTTTCCCGCAAGAAACTGTTCAACCGGAACAAACTGTCAGATTGGGCCACCTCAACGTGCATATACCAGTTCACTTGCTCTTGTGGAGCTGAGTACATCGGCCGTACCATGCGCCAACTTGGAAAACGCGCTTGTGAACACTACCCAGCCTGGCTAGTAAAAGGAGAGCAAAAACGTGTATACAGTTCAGTGACAGAACATCTGGTCAACTCAGGACATTCAGCGCCTTTCGAAAAGTCCTTCAAAGTAATATACAAGATTCAATCAAACCTATCAAAGGGAGTGAAGTGAAGACATTTGCGCATAGCTGAGGCGTTAGCTATCCAAAAGCTCAAACCCACGCTATATATCCAAAAGAAATACGTTCAACCCCTGTCCCTGCCATGGCCATCGTAAACAGGTAAAAAGTTTTTTAATAATGACCATCCCATCGCCTTTCTTATCTAAACTTCCTGTTTATTCATGTTATTTTAAGTTTTTCTTAATCCCTGTCTACCCTACCATATTTTCATATCCACACTTCCTGTTTATTTTGTCATTTTACTATTTCTACATATTTAATCCCTGATTGCATAAACAATTATTCATCACACCAGTTTTTTATCCAAACATCTTGTATATTTTGTTATTTTTTTTATATTTCTAACCCCCAATTGCACAATGTCAATCTTCTTAGTTATTATAATGCTACTTTGTTTGAGTTTTAGCTATCCCCCTGTTTATTATGGCATTCTAATTCCTAATTGTAATTTTTATTAATTTAACCCTTAACCAGAAATTTGTTCTGGAACTTTCCCATCCATTTGATATAAATGCACGAATGTACAGCCTAGATGATGACTTCTTCGCTGCAACTGTCTTTTTATTCCCTATGATCAAATGTGTATATTCCCTGATTTGAATATTGTGTTCTTAAATAAATAAACAACGTTGCATAACACTTAAAACCAATTTACTACAGTTGTTGTTGTTGCCATCATCGTTGTTATGTGTGAAACATGAGAAAGTGTTTTAACTTTAAGAACAGAAGGATGGAAATAAACAGAACCACATACGCTTACGCATAAGCTCACACACACCAAGAAAGAGCGAGAGAGAGAGAGAGAGAGGCAGAACAACAACAACAACAAAGCAGAAACAAAATCGATACCGGTTGTGAAAAAACACATTTAACACACAGGGGACGGAAACACAACTCATGGATATAAATCATTTATGCTTGTAACATCAAAGTTCTACCTAGTGTATTGGTATAAATATTGTTTGTCATGATGATGTTGAATGCAGGAATAACAATAGTGAAAGTAAATTGTTGTAAGATACAACTATAGAAGAAGAAAAAATTTTCTACACGTTCACTTTCAATTTTGTGAAAACATGACTTCAACTGATGCTGTTCTCTCTCCCTCTATCTCTTTCTGCCCCTCTGCGTGGGTTACCTCAATCAATCCAGGTACTATATGACGCTGACGGAGGTTTCTACAATGGAGGAGTTTGCATAAAAACAGAGACCAGTCAAGTAAACCAAGTAGAAAGTTTTCAAACAAGTTAGAGGTAGACCAGAATTGAAATTCAACATCGAGGGACTGAAGGAGGAAGCTACAAAAGACACCCTGACTACAATCATCAGGACAAAGTCAGGGGCATTAAGTGCCGTCTCTAAAAGTGATGCCGAAGGGAACCTGTATAGCAAACAATTTTAGAAGGAAAGAGGTAAAAGACAAGGAATGCCTAAAAAGCACTACAAAAAAATAGTGGAAAATGGAGATATGCTGCTGAGGCCTAGTGTTGTACTCGGCATCCAGGAGAATAACAATAATAATAAACTATTTAATTGAATTTCAGATTTTCCCGTCGATTGATTGGACCGAAGTGCTCGGTCTCAGGTTGACATGTTGGCTTATTGTGCATATGCTTCGACGTTGTCTGGACTTATAATTAGAAGTTAATTGGTGGATGGTGACTATGGTCACTGGTTTCGAGCCTCGGTGGGAACATCATCACTCACTGGGGAATGCAGGTACATCCAGTTAGCTGACGAGTCCCAAAAAGGACGAAATGCGCATCCACTGCTAGTCACCATCCACCCATTAAATAATAAGCCAGGTTATACGCAAATGTACTAGAGAAAGAATATGTATCTATGGAAAATAATGGGAAGAATGAATGG